AAAAAAAAAATTTGGGGGTTAGGTGCACTTTAAAGCTAATATCACAACTTACATCCAAATGGAGTTTAACTAAAATGACATGAATAAAATGTTGCTTTCCCAATAAGAGTTTCTAGTAAAAGATATGAAGATAGTTAAGGTGAATAAGACAACAAGTTCCTGGCCGCTGAAATATCAGTATCCAAGGTCAAAAAGCTGTTCTGAACTGCAACTGACACTTTCTGAAGGAATATCATCAAGGTTACTGAGATGAAATATCATGTTACAAGCTATACAATGGCTGTGAAGGATAAAAGTTATATAAGTACATTGCTACCAGTAACAAAATATGCATTTTGTAGATGTTACCGTCTCAAACAATCAGAGTAAAAAACCCAAAATTCTTGCAGCTGTATATGGACACAATTTAATTCCAAAAAAAGTTGGGAAAGGTTTGAATTGATAAATGGTGTACTTATCAATTTTATCAGACAAGCAATAATTATTCCCTTTATGCATTACTTACTCCTCCACACATTCCAACTTGTCCTGCAGTTTTCCTGCTTCCTTTTTCCCATGGTTCAAGGTGGTCCACCTTAAAATAACAAATTTGGAAGAGCAAGATAATGTTATAGCTGACAATTAATTTTGCAATTTAAGAACCACAGATTAAATGTCCATGTAAATGACAGTACGACCTCCCAGTTGTTCCGATCTAATTGGTGAAGTCATGTTTGGTAAAACACATCCTAGGACTAGGACCCGGATGGACCACAACATCCTCAGTTATATTCAGGCCATTCTCAGGATGAAAACAGGATAAAAATCTCAGGTATTTGACATGGGAAAAGGTGGCTGCTATTCTATATATGAATCATAAAACTGCATCTCAATGAGATTAGAATAGGCAAGCTTGCCTAATCTGTGCAACCAAAAATTTTAACCAAAGTTTACCCTGTACCTTTTCAAGATACATGTGAGTGTATCAAATCATGTCAGTTTAACACATTATTCTTATCAATTCACTCCCTTCTTTCTATATCTTTTTTGTGTAAACGCCAAATAAGTTTCACCTTGTTAAGTTTCAGCTCAAATTTAGGAAACTTCTACGCAAGATCGCATATTGATGATGGAACTAGTAAAACTGGAGACAGTTTAGTCTTATTGCTGTGATTTATATCATATTCTTACGTGTCTAGAGTGTAGAGTCCACGGTTGTGTCCATCAATTCTCCGTCGACATTCCTCCATTCTTACCTTGTAGTAAATTTCATCAACGACTTCATGGTAGGTTTTAAGTTGGAAAAGTTCGTTCTTGAAGTACGGCGACGACAGCACGTTTGTGAGAATCATGCTGTTTAGATTCATGGTCTTTTCGTTTCCCCACAAGGGAAGAACGTTATTTTGCTTTTTGGGGCCTTGGGGTCTTGACTCTTCCACATCCATGTTGCAATTCTGTGACTATTTGAAAGTCCAGGGACTACTTTTACACGTTGTAATGAAGCACTTGAAGAAAAACGAAAAATGCATTTATGCTCGTTTGGTGCACAACATGGCGGCTGCTTTTAGTAACCCATAATCCATCAGTGTCCCACAATCGACAACCTCTTCCCCAGGGTCTTTAGTCTCCTCCGCCGCCGTTATTAGGGTCGTCACACAACGCTTCTCCCCCGTAGGGGAGAAGCTTTGCGTGACGACCCTAATAACGGCTGCGGAGGAGACTATAGGGTCTTCTCCTCGACGATGTTTCAAGTTGCTCCTGATTACGTGACTACTCAGAAGCTGGGTGGCAAAAAAAAAAAAAAAATATTGGGCGGGAGGGGTAGCAGAGTGTTTTGTTTGTTGCTGTGACAAACTTTGTGAGTTTCAAAACCTCGAGCAGTCGAGCCGTTGTTTTGCCGATGAAGAATGCTACACTATTTCTGCCGTCTTCAAAACATAGACTACTTTCGTTCACAAAGAAATTCGGCAGCAGAATGGAGCACAAACGTACTCCCAGAAAAGTTGGGTGGGGGTGTGCGGCCCACTTCCCAAAACCCTTACCCTATTTATCTGCGATTTTTGCTACCCTATTTAAGACCTGGCCAAAAATTCGATACCCTATTTATAAACCGTTGCAGCTGGCACAGTTACCCTAAACATAAGTTATGAAGGGCTTTTGTTGACGTCCTTATTGATGATGATGAAAAAGTAGCTCCGTCTAAGAAACATACCCAATTCAAGACTAGAGTGCTAAAACCATACCCTGTTTAAGACCAAAATGGCCAAAATCGATACCTTATTTATGACCAAAACGACTGAAAAATGGCCTACCCTTTGGTGCCGCTCATACTTATATAGCCCAT